ATACACAGACTTAGAACAAGCACACTCACACAGACACCTTCATTAAATACGCGAACCACAAGACTCGCAGGCAGAATATACGGGCAGAATCGTAACCACACACATAGATATTTAGGACACGAAGCACACTCACACAGACACCTTCATTAAATACGCGAACCACAAAAGACACACACGGCCATTTTCCACTCATTGTTGAAAGAACTCGCAGTAAGCTAGCGAGTAAACGTTTACTCGCTGTTCAATCTCTACTTCTCGCGACTTTATAGCCGCAATTTCAAAAAGCTTTTTCACGTTTATTTAACTCCAGTCAGCCATCTCGGAATGTACTGCTTTATTTCGAGATATCTACACAAATCATGATTGGTTAAAATTGAGAATGTACTCGCTGCGAGCAAAAACAGTTCAAAATTCAGTTCGATTCGTTCTGCGAGTACTCGCTGCGAGGAAAAAAAGTATTCGCTAGCTAGGTTCCAGTGATTTCAGAGACGAGTGAAGAATGTACTTTACAAATTAGTTGGTCAAGCACACAAGCGCATCACATAAACACACCATAGCTCACAGGTAAGCACGCACACTAACCGACCTTCACTATAGAACTACAAGGTCAACTATGATTAATTTGAAAAGTTAAGAGGAAAATAAAGATAAGCAATTCGCCGATACCCAGTGGGAATATGCGAACTATAAAAAATGGAACATCTGGCACGCGTTATCTTGCCTTGCGGATCTACATCCAGAAAACACGCCTGACCTTCGCACATAACGTGCCGAGTGAAGGTTCTATCAGACCGGTTGTCACGCGACGGCAGGCGAGTTGAACAAATGACGTACTGATAAAATTAAATTGTCATTAGTTGTAACAGACGCTTAACACACAAATCTTTTTGATCTTGGAATGTTTTTAATACCGGATAGAGATGAAGACAGGGTTCCAGGTTTCGACAGTAAGAGGCCAGTGCGTGTTGTAAATAATCTTATTCACAAGAGTATACATTTATGAATTTTTCAAGAAACAAAGTGGGAGAGAAAGCAAAGAGAAATACAAAATAGAGAAAAAGAAGATGAAATAGGGGAAATAAAAAGGGAGGAAATGAGAAAAGAAAATGAAAAAAGAAAGAGAATAAAGGTTGAAGGAAATAAGAGAAAAACAAAAAACTAAAGAAACAATGAAAAATGAGAAAACAAAATGAGAAATAGAGAAGAGAAAGAAAAAAGAAAATGTTTATAGAAAAAGTCGAGCCAATATAGTTTTCACGAAATATGCCGGCCTCAAACTGAAATATGGCAAAAGTCTAAACACACTTTTTAAGAAATCAAGAGTAGATTGATTTCTATTGATCATCATTTTATGACATAATATGACAAAGAATTTCACCTCAAATGGTATAAATAAATTTTGCAATTCACATACTTTTCAGCGGCTCCCCCAAAAAAAAAAAAAAAAAAAAAAAAAGCAGAATTTTTGAAGGTTATTTGAAAATTAGATTCGAAGAAATAAAATAGGATGGGTATCGAATTATTACTACAGTTATTTCAGGAAATCAAAGGAATCGAGTTGAACAGTAAAGCGTAACATAATCTCCCAAATAACTCTTTTTAAAAGCTTTTCGGAAATGTTCAAAAGGATTCATCGCGTTTTTAGTTTCTTTTAGGGACTCGCCATCTTGTCTGCTAGGAAATGAGTCTTCAATCTACTTCACACGAGCAGACACAGAGATGGTACGAATAATGGCTTTGAAAGTAGGTTTAACCTTTCAGAAAATGAATTTAATAGCAGGTACGACAGAAAATGTCTCCGCGTGATTGAATTTGTAGTTTTCAATTATAGCATTCGATTTCATCGAAGTGAGTATTTCCGTCAAAGAACAATAGATTGTTTAGGAAAACCAATCGTTCGTACAACCAATATACCCCGTTCCTACGAGAGTGACACTCGAACGAAAATTTCAAAATCCAAGATAGTCTTTTCCACTCATGGTTCAAGGATATTTTTGTGAAGTGCTCTTCAGAGAGCCTGGATTAGTCCTTAAGAGATTGACTTGTTTTATTCGCCCTTTTTAAGAGCCTAACACTTGAGTATTGCTCAACAAGAAAAAAAAATAAAAGTAGAAGGAATATAAACAACTTTGAGGACACCATTCACGTTTGCAATCGGTTTTTGATTGAATAACTGAGAGTTTGAAATAGATAGAAGTTTTTAAGGATAGGAAGAAACAACTTCAATGTTTTAAGTAGGCACTTGGATCTGATAAAAATCTGACAGAGATAAGTAGTTTTCAATCATGCTTTAAAATATGGATGGAACAAAAAAAAAAGGGTTTACAATTGACCCTATAGTCATGTGGATTTAATTTTAACTAATTTTCGTTTTCGGCCGCCGCATTTTCGAAATAGGTTATATTGACTGATCTGCTATAAAAATAGTGATCTGAACGAAACCTCGGTAATCCAACATGGCTGCCACTTTTATCATTTAGGAATGATTATTAGTTAACTACGAGGTTATCATCCGGGTATTTTGGTTTTCACGCTTTTCATAAAAAGAAAGAAAGAGCTGAACTGAACTGAACTGAACTGTTCTTTATTTATACACGGGATTCCTTCAAATTATCACATTCGTTTTACAAGGGAGCCGTGATTTAAAAATGATAGTTCAGTGTAGAATTAAAATGATCTAGAATATAGTATAAATAGAAATGTATATATATATATATATA